TTGTTGTTGTTGTTGTTGTGTGCCTTCCAAGTCATTTCTGACTTATGGCAAACCTATTGTGGGCTTTTCTTGCCAAGGTTTGTTCTGAGGAGGTTTGCCAAGCCTTCCCTTGAGTTTGAGACAGTGTGACATGCCCTACTACCATGTTAAAAAAAAAAGAAATACACATGCATGAAAAATAACCAGAGCAACTTGCAACCCAAAGAAACAACAAACCTATTGTTGTTGTGTGCCTTCCAAGTCATTGCTGATTTATGGCAAACCTATTGTGAGCTTTTCTTGCCAAGGTTTGTTCAGAGGAGTTTTGCCAAGCCTTCCCTTGAGGCTGAGAGCATGTGACTTGTCCAAGGTCACCCAGGAGGTCTCATGGCCGAGCAAACCATGATAGGGTTGCCATAAGATGGAAATGACTTGAAGGCACCCAACAACTACTGGTGCCCTTTTCTCCTCTCATCCTTTGTGTGACTTGCCCAAGGTTACCCAGTGGGTTTCCATGGCTGAGCCGGGATTCAAACCCTGGTCTCCAGAGTCATAGTCCAATGCTCAAAGCACGACACCACCCTGGCTGGTGCCTCACCAAACTACAAATCCCAGGATTCTGTCGAATGGAGCCATGGCAGTTAAAGTGGTGCCAAATTGCACAGTGCAGATGCACCCTCAGTCTGGCTCCTAAGCATATAAATGCCGCTGACAATCCTGTTTCCAGTTTATTGATCCATCCGTCTCTGTGCCATGCAATAAAGGTGTTGCAGTGACGTCCGAGATCAGGAGATTGTAACCACACCACTATTCGTTGGCCGCTGCCTATGATGCCACGGATCGCCATTCCCTGAAGCTACAGGAAAATTTCCAGGGAGCTGCTTAGCAAAAGAGGGCATTTCCTTGAAAGAACTGAGTTGCAACACATACAGGCTTGCAAGAACCGTTGCAAATAAAAAAACCACATGCTGGAGAAAGGAAATGAGAGAGAAAACAATGCAAGAAAAGAGGACAGGTGTTGCAAATTCCTCCTTACTGTTTGTTGTTGTGTGCCTTCAAGTCATTTCCGACTTATGGAAACCCGACTTGTACAAACCAATTCCTCTCTCTATGTGTGTGTCTTGTGTGTGTGTGTTTAAGTGGGAGCTGGAGTGTGTCAGAGGGCAGAAGGTGACCTCTAAAAAGCTTTGTCGGTCGAATTCTTGGGATCACATCACACACCACTGAGTGGTGGTTACCATAACCTCAAGGTGCTTATCACTAGCAACTGGGAGATGAGTGCCAGGTAATAGTTTATGGAATGGCAGGAAGACAAATTGATATACGAAGGAGAATTTGGGATGGATAGGACAAGGGTGAAAAGCACACTTACCAGCAATTTGCACAGATGCGACCCTAGCAATGGTTTCACTGCGATGGGTTCTCCTTTCTCACCCGTAAATCTCACCGACCCCTTCTGAACCACACCAAATTCTTGACAGTATAGCGTGGAAGTAACACATTGCAATTCACGGTGTTGTCCGTAGCACCGCTATGCTTTGTGGCGATGGGTTATCTGTGTTATCCCTTGCAATGCCATAACTGGTATGTAGAGAGATCTTGTAGCACCTTTGAGACTAACTGAAAGAAAGTATCGACTATATACATCTGAGGAAGTAGACTGGAGTCTAGGAAAGCTCATGCCGCCAACTTCTTTCTTTCACTTTGGTGCTACAAGAGCTTGCTATATACTGATTCTACAGACTAACACGGCTATATCTTTGCATGCCATAACTGTTTACTCCTTAATTAAAATACAGGATGATTCAAAGGGAAGGGTGCAAAACCGAAGAAGAACGACACTGCTTTTTTTAATCCTTAGGGTTGCCATAAGTTGGAAATGCCTTGAAGGCACACAGTGACGATGACAACAGCAACCCTTTCTTTTGCACTTCGAACTCAGTCGGCAGCAGGCAAAGGGAGCTGAGGACAAAGGGAGAAAAGCGCAAGGAGGAAAGAGAAACTGGGACATTTTAACAGTAGCTGAAAAAAATGAGATGGCAGAGGAGTGGATGGAGACCTTTCCACGGTTGTTTTTGTCAGCGCACTCTGAGCATTTGCAAAGGAGGAAAGAAACTCTTCTATTAGTTAAAGCTGCAGGGTGAACAGTGTCGGAGAGAAAGAAAGAAATCAACAGACATATACATATAGCTGGAAGCAGAATCTCAAGACCAGTCACAAAAGCCCAAAACAGGTTCCCTGCCTTGGGCGCTTTGGAGAATCCGAACATGCTCTGCAAAAAAAAGGTTTCATTTCTGCAAAGTCCACGGACCCAGCAGAAGCAACCAAGCTGGTTTGCCGCACCCTTATTGCCGGTTTCCTACTTTTCTCCTGAATGCAACAGCCGAAATTCCTCGGCTTTGCTGCACACACCGCACCCTCCGGTGGTGTGCACCTTAGCTAACAAAGCCCCACTGTCTGAAACCGACTGGTTTCCACCAAGGCCTCTTCGAAGTTGGGGGGGATCAATGTTTCTGCCCTTTGCAACCTGTTTGCCAGCCATTGGAAGGGGCGGCCGTCCATTCAGCGCTGGAGAGGCTGGCGCCCGGCCAGGTCCCTGGTGCCTTACAGCATGGCACCGTGCCAAGGGCTAATTAAGAGGCCTCTTCCTCGATGGCTTGAACCCGTTCCAGAGGCGGAAGCGGTTGCAAAGAGACGGTTGCGTTCTGGGCTCCACGGGTTTAAAAATAAAACAAAAGCAAAGCAAAAGGGTGAAGGAGTGAGGAGACAGAGGTCTCGATTAACACGCCAACCTAGGATTCAGCACAAAACAACCCCAAAGGCAGCTGCTTACAT